AATTTTTTACGAGTAAAATATAAGTATATTCCCATTAATGTTTACCTTTTTTAGCACACCAGGAGGACTGGGAACATGAAATTGTCCAGCCATGACTTCTGTTTCACAGGAGTTTAAATATGAGGAAACACAAAGGCCAAATTCCCTTAATCCTCCATTACAATGAGTAAAACCAAAGAATATAGTTCTGATGAGCATCAAAAGATTGTTGAGCTTCACAAAATAGAAAGAGGCTGTAAGAAAATAGCAGAAGAATTGAAAGTCCCCATCTGGAGAGAGTCTGTATGCAGGAATGGTCTCTGATCTCAGGTCAGGTGTTCTCCAAACTCATCAGGCGTTATAGGAGCCACGATGGAGTAGTGCAAATGTTTGTCAGTGTTGGCGTGTGCACCTGTTCTGCTGTTCTGCACAATCTCATGTACAGATGTATGTGTAGGTTATTAGATTCTGCAAACAGCATCATTTCAACATTGACGAATCCGGCCCTGAGTTCAGTCAGGTTCTCCTCTAGTATGTGGAACCATTGGTGTTTTAGCCTATATGGAAACATGTCATATTGGGTTGTTGTTTTGTTTGTATTTGTCTGTTACTGTTTATGTTGTGTAACTGTTTGTGTTTGGACCATGTGTGTCCTTAATAAAGCTTTGACGATACAGGAGAAAACGTCTCAGGTTACTACTGTAACCATAGTTCCCTGAGAAGGGGAACGAGACGATGCGTCACTTGACGCCTTGGGAACGCCCCCAGCGTGAATGCGTCTGAGCATCAATGTCAACTAGTCCAATGGAAAGAATGAGCGTCACGGGCGGGTGACGTCATGACCAGGAAGGGATAAAGGCTCACCCGGTGAAACGCGGCATTAGCTTCAAAAAGTCGAAGCAAGCCGATCACAGGGAAGCAGGAAGTATGGCAGGTTGACGCATCGTCTCGTTCCCCTTCTCAGGGAACTATGGTTACAGTAGTAACCTGAGACGTTCCCTTTCGAGGGAACTCGCGATGCGTCACTTGACGCCTTGGGAACGAGAATACCCAAAACGCCAGAATTCCAAGTACCTGAGTGTCAGTCTGTTGGAACTAAGCACTAAGCACCTGAGAACCTGGGGCAGCATCCAGGTCCAAACTGTAAAACCTGACGAATGTGAGCGGTGAAGCCAGCCTGCCGCATCACAAACGTCTTGGAGAGAAACCCCAAATAACAAGGCTTTAGAGGCCGCCATACCCCTCGTTGAGTGAGCTCTGACCACCAAGGGACACGGATGGTCAGAGTACTCGTATGCAAGTGAAATAGCCTCGACTATCCACTTACTAACCGTCTGTTTAGAAGCAGGAAGACCCTTCTTAGGTGATCCAAAGCAAATAAATAACTGGTCGGACTTCCTCATTGAAGATGTCCGATGAACATAAGTATCCAGTGCTCGCACTGGACACAAGAGGTTCAGCCTTTCCTGGTCCGCAGATGTAAAAGGAGGACAGAAACCTGCAGCACAATAGGCCTCGGAATAATGGTAGGCACCTTTGGAACATATCCATGTTTCGGGTAAGAATGCCTTGGCCATCCCCGGTGCACTCAAGGCAGGTGGGGACCGAAAGGGCCTGAAGGTCTGACTCTAATAGGGACGAAATAGCTAGCAGAAAATAGTCTTAAAAGAAAGGAACTTCTCTGAGACCAAATCTAAGGGCTCGAAGGGAGCCCCAGATAGGCCTTCTAGAACTATTGCAAGGTCCCAAGCCAGCACCCTAGTGCAAGTTGCAGGCCTCAGCCTCAAAGTGCCACGAAGGAAACGAGTGATCAGGGGGTCTCGACCCAAAAATGTACTACCCACCAGGGCGTGGAAAGCCGCAATGGCCGCCACGTATACCTTAAGCGTGGAAGGACATAGACCTGATACAAAGCGTTCTTGCAGAAACTCGAATACTGTGTTTACTGAACAGTTAACCGGATCCCACTGACGCTAGTAACACCAAGAAGTGAAAAACTCTCGAAATAGTGAATATAGTTTCCTCGTGGCGGGAGCTCTGGAGCTTAGAATGGTCTCAACAACCTCGGTTGAGAGGCCACTCTCTATGAGTTGGGCCCCCTCAGAGGCCAAACCCACAGTTTCCAAATCCCCTGCCGGGGGTGCAATATTGCATCCCCTGCCTGAGACGGAAGGTCTCTCCTGATCGGGACCTCCAAGGGAGGTCCGTCGAGGAGAAAAATTAGGTCCGCAAACCAAATTCAG